TGTTTGTGCAAAATAGGTTTTGTACTTGTGCAAATCCAACCAGTAAAGCTGACAGCTTGGGGATACTGAAGTACAGCTTCATGCTCCACCTGTGCAAGAACACAAGTGTAGTGTTATGTGCTGACTTAAGCAGAGCCAAGATTTCAAATGTTATAGAGGGACACAGTTCTTGTGAGAATTAATGTTAACTAGAGAAGAAATTGTATATACCTCCTCCTCACCAGCAAACCTGTATTTAAGCTCCATAAATGAAGCTGTTTAAGACAGTTATTTCTAAAAAAATATATTAATCTTACATATAAGTGATCTAACACAGCCATGGAGAGGAGTGTTTGATCCACAGATAGCACGATACAGTGGCTTACCCATAACATGCGCTTCCTTTTTAAATAACTAAAAATACTGTTCCTCAGTTACCTTTTTTCTTTGTTTAAACACTTTTCCTGCTAATTATTTGAATTGCATCTTGAATGATAGAAACCACAATTTTGGGCATGGTTCAGCTCTGTCAGCAGATAAAGAAAGCATGGGATAATTGAAATAAAAATTCTGGAAGTAGGTACCACTAAAGGGATGGAGGTTGGAGAAAGAAAAAAAGAATCTGAATATTAACAGGGACATAGTAACTGTGCCTTTGAGTTCAGCATGGTGTCCATAGAAGACTTTTTAAAATGGCAAATACCACTGAGTAACCATAAAAACACTGTGATTAACTCACACGCTTTTTTCCATTAACTTTGTAAAATACAGTAACCAATCCTGCTTAGCATGCATGTAGTCTGTGTCAGTTTTCTACTCTAAGCACAACTATGGCAACAACAGTGGAGAGCTTTAGGTATTTTTACAGAATATATGTGTGTGTGTATATATACAAAGTAACCTCTCTATATATGTGGGGGGGTGTTGTGTGCATGTACGTATTATATCTACACGTATTTTTATGTGTGCATCTCCTTACAAAACAAAGATGTAAATTGGTTCCCGCTGCTTCCTCCTTGCAGTCCAAGCCCAGCGCCGCAGCCGGGAGCACTCCCGCTCTGCCAGTGCCTTGAGCCTCAGTGGTGGAGATGAGAAGTCTGAACCCTCGGACGGCGTGGATCAACATTTGTCCTACTACAGCAGCGGGGGCCTCTTTGCCACTACAACAGGTAGGAGGAGAACAAACTTGCCACTTGCTCCCCTGTGAGGATGCATAGTATCCAGGCTGTCCGGCAGAGCAATGCTGGACATGGGCTCATGTTGAGTAGTTCCTTTAGCCAGGAAAAAGCACAGAAGTACATCTCCATAATGTCGAGATATGGTCACAACCAACAGCTGCAAAATTGAGTTTCAGATTTGACCCACGTAATGACCCACCCATGGTCCTTATTCAGAGCAACTCTGACCCTATTGCCAACTCTGTAATAAACAATACCATACGCATTTTCCTTTTGTAGTGGGCTACAAGCACGCTAAAACCATAGAGTTACCCCAACAACGGTCATCGTCAGTTGCCACCCAGCAAACAACGGTATCATCGGTTCCCTCTCACCCATCTACTGCTGGGGTAAGTAATATTGTTTGGTTCTATTCAGACACACATTCCCAGCTTACTGCAAAAGTTCACACCAGTACCTGCCAAAAGTGCACAGCCCTGAAGGTCTTCAAGATCCGATGGCGTGTGCTCCACATCATGCTTCAGACCATGCTAATCCAGGACTGAGTTGGCCACACACCTACTCACTGGGCTGAAGCTTGGTACAAACCCCAGTGAAGGCGTAGCAGTCACTGGAGTGGGATAGACCCTCCCCTGTTCTCGAACACTTTAAATTAACACTTCTTCCTCTCCTGAGATTGAGTCTTGGAGTAGGTATATGACAATGGGTATGGCATTGCCTCCCCAAGATCTGCTGGGAGGCAACAACTTAAAGTTATGGCTGGAGCTACCTGGAGCCAATACTGCTCAAATACACTGCAAACATGTTCAGCCTCAGTGCTGCCAAAACACACAGGCTGTAACTCAAGATACTGTGAGACTTGGATAATTAAGGTATTTAGTTATTGAGAAGAAATGGTTTGTGATCTGAAGCCAGAAGATTTAGGCCAGGCAGATGCTGCCATCCATAATACTGTTAAGAGTACTGAAATAAGCTGAAGCATAACTTGCCCTTAGCCTTCTTTTATATTTTGTTTCTCACCAACAATGTCCACCCGTGCTGACAGCAGGGCTATAAATATGTCTCCCTTTTTTGCCCCCTTTCCCCACCTTAAACCTGACAGAAGACCTACCGGGCCATGTATGACTATATGGCAGCTGATTCTGATGAGGTTTCCTTCAAAGACGGTGACACAATTGTAAACGTACAATCCATTGATGAAGGCTGGATGTATGGTACCGTTCAGAGAACCGGCAAGACCGGCATGCTGCCTGCCAATTACGTAGAAGCGGTCTAAACCCAACCACATCTTCCCATAAAGCACATCAGCATGGCACGGACATGCCGGAGCCTTAGGAAAGGGTTTGTAACACTTTCTGCAAAGTGCCTTCCATGTTGATAGCGCCTTATGAACTGTGTGTGGGGAAAAAAGTAACTGCAGAGCAAAATACTCTTGAAACAACCTTTCAAAACATATTTGAAAACTACCTGTAAGCACACTACCACGCATTGCTCATGAGAACTCTATTTCTTCCAATGCCAAAAAAAAACCCCAAACCCTGCATTTTAAAAATATTGCCTGGAACTTCCAAGCACTACACACCATCATGCATTTAACTATGCCGGAACATGATCCAGCTCAGTGTCTCCGAAGTTCTCTACATGTACTTATGACTAAGATTACCAAATATTACTTTATTCATTCTCCCATAAAGAGAGTATTTTTCTGGGCTATTCTAAAATGTTTGAATTTATTCACTTCTTTTCCATACAAGCACTATTTAAGCTTAGTATCTCAACCCAACATTTATCTGGGGCTGGTGGGAAACCAAAACCCAACTTGAAAGCCTCTCCTTCTGCTTGCTGAGCTCTTGTGCATGTGATTTTCATGCAACTGTTCTGGGGTCAAAAGCTGTTATTACTTGTAAATTAGTGCCTAAATAAAGCTAATGTTTCTGCAGTATGCTTGCTTTATTCACTCACGCTGAAGAGTGGGAATCAATCTCACAGCAAACTGGCTTTGTTCAGAAAACTACTGAGAAAGGGAAAGAACCCAGGAGGTGGTGGAGGATGCAACAGCCACAAGAAACTGAGGGGCTCTGGATGAAGCCGGACAAGTTAAATCATACCTGAACACAACAGTTACTGGCTTCCTCTACTGAAGCAATTGGTGCCAGCTGGTTTCTGAGAAAGAAGAAAGTAAGAAATCACTGTATACTGTGTCCAAGAGAGACTAAAGATTAAAACCAGGTTAGCAGTAAAAGGAACTGCAACATGAACTCTGAGGAATTCAGAGTTCAAAGGGAATCCATGGCATGTCATGGTGTACACAGTCCGCTTGAAAGGGAAATGTCCTTCCTGGATGTGGGATTCAGGATTGCCAGCACTGAAGGGCATTCGTTAGTTAAACAAAGATGTTAACGCCCTTTCGAGATGTGTCAGGAACATCATTGTATGTGCAGGGCACTGTACGCAAGAGTTGAATAAGCCTGAGAAGGCAGACCTGGAACCAAAATAACATTTTCAAGAAAGCAAGAAAACCTGCCGACAACTCATCACTGGCACTGTTCATGTCACAGCACCAAGACACCTCCTTGTCCCATTCACTGTCTTCATGAGATGCATGAACAGAGCAAAGAATATTAAGAGTTCTGATGACAAGATACTGCCAGGTCCTCAAGGACCTGCTCCTACCTTAAGGCAGCAGTTCAGCTCTCCCAGCTTGTAGATCCAAAGCAATGCTCAGGGAGGGCTAAACACGGCTGAAGGGAAAAACCAACAAACTAAAAACCACAACACCATTAACAAGTTTGGGAACTATCTGCTCTTTTATTTGCCCACGTGTAAGTTCTAAAACCAGCTTCAGCAATTCCTTTCAATAAATGTTCATTTTGGTAGCTACAGAACAATATATACAAATTAGATTTCCAGAGTAAAAACTGGGAACTTTCTCTGAAGGTCTCTGAGAAGCAGCAATGCATTCCATGCAATTAAAACTCAAAATCATAAATTATTAACCAACATTTGCTGTAAGTCTGTACACAATATACAAAGAGCTCTTGTCAAATTTATTCATTTCCCAAGGAAAAATTCTCTACAGAAGGAGAACTGCTGCAAACAAAGAACATGGGAAAAGCCTGAGAGATTCTGCAAAGTCTTTTGCCTGTAAGGGCACATTTCATTATTAGCTTCTTAGTGTGATTCTTAGAAAAATACATGCAAAAATAGATGTCCCTTGGCTGTCAAATACCAGGTTCCTGGACTGTTGCTGTGGTACGGAATTAAGCACATCTTATCTCAATACAAAACAGTGTGCTGAGAAATTGCCACCGTCTGTCAGGGTTTCAGCAGCTTCAGAGGAAGCCAAGAGGGGCAGCAGGCGAGTGGAGCCATGAGATCGATCTCTTACCAAATACCACGAGTCTGCAGCAGTAAGAACACTTCAGATTTGAAAAAATAATTTAACTACTCTGTTGGTTTGGTTTCACAGTCTTTGCTATTGCACAACTTTGTCGAGTTTTCTTTCACTACCTGAAAGAAATATGCATAGCAATACAATACAAATACCTCTAGTAGGGAATGAGCAATCCCACAAACTACAACCAAAAAAAAAAACAAAAACCCACCCAAAGAACCCCTAAAAACAAAACAAAACAAAAAAACCCACAAAAAAAAACCCCACCCAAAAAAAAGGAAAATAAAAGGAAAAAAAAACCCCAACATCATATATTTTTCTCATATAGGTGTTAAAAAATCTTTTGTAGTACAAAATGCACAGTTTAAGGAATAATTCACCAGTAAGAAAAGAAGGGTTCGGGGGAAATTGTTGTAACAAAATCTTCCTTACTTAGGAATGGTAAGCACCTAATCTGAACTTTCATGGGGTGGTGACTTCCAGCGAGCCTGCAGATTTTTCATGATACAGTTTGTCATGCCAACAAGTTTTTCTTGCATCTCAAAAAGCTGGCTGCCTGAATAGCTGTGAAGGTCTTCAGTGCTCAGCTGAGCAGCAAGTGCATCAATCCGGCTCATCAGATCTGCTGGGGGCTGGTCATTTGTATTCATGACAATAGGTTCAGTCAAATCTGAAAAGGAAGGACAGCAGGGCAGGGCAGTCTGCCTGTCTGGATTTAAGCCTATGCAGAGTTATGTTACAGCTTCTTTTGTAATAAATAATATATTCAAGCAGTCTATAAAGTACTTGTCCCACACAACAAGGCTTCTGACAGAGGCAGCCCTCAGGACTCCACGCTACCCTTCTTTACCCTTTGTACAATAAAACTGAGGATAGACATTAAAATATTTGATTCAGATACTGTCAGTGCCAGATGAGTTATCCCAAAGACCAACTCTGAAACTGGGCAGCTGAGGAGAAGTTACTGACCAGTTCTTTGTTCTCTAGGTAAACACCTCAGGTGTCTTGTAGGAAGCACAAACATGGATTCCTCTGAGCTACCAGGCCAAACTCCAAAAATGCATGGGAGAATTCAAATGAAAAGCTAGGCAACCAAATCCAAACTGGGTATCCAGGGAATTAACCCCCTCCTCTCCCGCCTCCTGCAGATTAGGCACCACTGAACTACCTCTGCTTCATCTTGCTTGGTTTTGTGCATGCATAGAACCATAGCGGTTACTATGCCATTAAACAGCTCAGGACAGAACATGCTGTGGGATTCAGAAAATTAAGTACTTAGAGTCCTGCCAAATTTGTTCTTTCCATGCTTATGCAAGCTTATTTAGGGAAAATCATCATCCTTCCCTCAAAATATGTAACAGGCTTTAAAAAGCCATTGCCACAGTGTGTCACAAAGTGGCTAACTCAAACACCTATCTGTCTAATGTGCTAATATTTGTAATATTTTAAAAAAATCAAGTGTTCCCATTAGGAGAACGAAAGTAGTAATACAGCAGAAACACCCCAATCCTAAGCAAAACCCCAGCAATATCTACCTGTTGCAAGTTTTTCTTCATCTACAGAAAGAGATTTATCTTCTACATTATTTACAGGCTTTTCTGTGTCTTCAAGCACTCCCATTTCCTCAAATCCTCGAGATTTTACCTGAAGAGTTTTTGGGAAAGAACAAAAAATGCATTTCCAGAGAAGCAAAAATAAGATTACATGGTGGGACATGTTTTAACCTAATAATAAATACAGTCATAATATTGTAGACAAGACTTCTGTACCTTGAATTCCCAGGTGACTGTGACAGGTAGAGGTTAGCATTTTAAAGTGCTTTTTCTAATGGGGGAAATCATGTTATTCCTCATGATGGACAATAATAATAATCATGTTATTCCTCATGATGGATGTTAGCAGTTCATTAGGACAATACTGGCTTTTTGGGTACTAAAATTAAACTTTACCTGTTGCTCATGATAGCCTTTCAGAGCTCTTTTAACAATGGAAATTTTCGGAGAGCGGATGGGAAGAGTTTTGATTTCTGACGCTGTCAAAGTACTCAGATCACCCACTGTCTTAATGTTCTTTGCTCGAATGAGCTGCCCCAAGCCTCTGGCGCTGCAGCAGGGGAGAAGGAAAATTGGATTATTATCTGGAATTCAAGTCCTTTCTGCCTGGCATGGTGAGGCAGAAAGGAATCTTATATGAATGCTGGTTCACATGCACGTAAGTGAAGGAAAAACGGAGATGCAAATGACGTTCTGGCTGCAGAAGCACACCTTTCTGCAGTTTATCCTACATCCATCAGCAACTAGCATTCTAAAGCCCACTCGCATATAACAGGAGTGAAAAGAAAAGGAGCTGAATGCACTAGCCACAGCCATTCTGAGAAGCTCCCACTGCATGTCTACAGTTTGTCACGACAAGTTACCAAAATTCAGACAGGAACCCAAACTAGCTGAGCACCTGGCCTTTCTGCATTTGAAATGTAGGGTTTTTTCCAAAATCCTGCTTCTCCATCAGGACACAGAAAGCTCCAGCTGCTTTGCTGCAGACAGTCACTAAGATCAGTCTGCTCTGCCATGACAAGTGGAGAAAGCTCCTTGTGTTCCTGCGTGTGAGCTTTTTATATTCTTACAAAAAAGATGACTTGAATATTTCCAAAACAGTTAAGTCTCTCTCCCACCAAAACAACCTCTCTCCTTTGAAAAAAAACTGGCAAAAAGGTGTCTCATTCTGCATCAGAAAATTTGGCTTCATAGGTTTGGTAAGAATTCTGTTTCTATTAAATTGTCATCTTCAAAAGCAACAATCCACTTACCATATGTTTGATGTAATCTGAGGTAAAATGACATCGACTGGTGCTTTGCATCCAACTAATGCAGGATACATGCGTTCCATGGGGCCAGGCAGTGACTCCTTAGTCATTTCTGTGATCTTGAATAATACAGAAAAATTATTAAATTTACTATCACACAACTGAGTAAGGGAAAAAATAGAAGAGATACATGAACCAAAGCACATCTTACTAAACACTTCTTTGAGCTCTTAAATTTAGGGTTACGAGATCCTGGGGACAGAAATCCTTTGGTTGGAGTGGTAATATGCTGGATAGAAAAAAAGGAAAAAATATCTCTCAGGATCGCAGGAATTCAGTCAGTTGTAAGATTCTAGCTATCTAGATCTCGGAGCACGCTTGTCTTCAGAGAGTAACAGAAAGAATCAGGCTAAACCAGTTACAGCTACACTTATATCAGTAACGTTTCTTATCTGTACTGATTCTCTGCTCTTATAATTGTAATACACACTAAAGCAACGTTACCAATGATAACCAAGAACTGCAATACTTGTGACATACAGAACAGAAGTAACAGAATTTACCTTGGCCTGAATATTAGATAAAATCTTAAGACTTCGGGAAGATGGTGAAGAGTGGGATCTAATGACAGGGCTTCTTCTATCTATGTCATCTGCCAGTCCTTCTTGATAAATTGGGTTTGCAAAAGAGACCCGACGAATCTGTTTTTAGAAAAGAGAAGTTGTTTTTATAGCATGAACTCAAACCACCACGCTCTGGGGAAGTAAGTCTGAGGAGACAGAACAGCTCCATTTGAAATAGAAGTCATTAACGTTATTGAATGACACAGATAGTGTTTCAGTGAGGACAGGAAGCGCGGCTTACTCACTGCTGAAAGAAACAGCAAATGCATTTTGTTAAGCTGCTCAAAGCCTGGTGGGAAGACCCTGACTGATTACAGCAGTTCTGCAGTGATGTGTCGCACTGCAGCCCAGGCACCAGCCTAGACTTGGGCTCTGTTTTGAAAATACAACTTCCCAGCCTGAGCCCTGTGGTAACATAAGCCTGTTAGGGCTTGCATGTTTCAAAAAGAAACCTCTATGTCTTCAGTGTAACATCATTTACAACAACAAATACAGTCATTAGTTCAAAATATTTGAAACTCATTACACTGCAGACACTGTTACACATCCTGATTATGAACCAAATGAACTGCAAGCATCACATTATGAATCACATTGCAGTACCTTATTAGTGGGCGACAGGGAATCATCATCTTGATTTCTTTTTACACCTCTCTTTAAAATACTTGTAGATGGAGAAGCTGAAGGAGACCACACGCAGCGTGCCTGCATACCATTAGGGCTTTCATTAGCTACCACTAAAGAATCATCACCTTCTGGCTTTTGAGGTGAATCTACAATGTTATTTTCTACTGCATCTCCTTTGTCCAAGGCCCTATTTTCAGGCACTGTAATTTCAGTTTCCTTCAATTCCTCCTTTGTCTCTTCATCTTGATTAACACACATTTCTCCCACAGCATTCTCAGCTGCTTCTTTATCACCCCAACTGCTTTCTAGCTCATTCATCTGTTTTTTCTCAGGCTTGCTAACACCAGCCAGTGCTTCAGATATCTCCTCCAGTTGTTCATTTAGGCTGATTTCTTCCTCTTCTGTAGCTACTGGTTCTTCGTTTTGATTCCGTGCAACCAGACCGCTGCCACCAGGCTCCTCTGGCACACCCTTGAACAGACACTGTTCAGTTTGGCCATCCTCATCAGCAGGTTCTTCTATTTCCACTACACAGTCAGTGAGTTCAGCTGCTACACATACTGGATTTTCTAGATTCTCCTCCAGTACAGAGCTCTTTCCTTCCAGGTTATCCTCAGATGATCCCTCTCTTTCTAAGTTAAAGGCACTAGGTTCCTTAGGAGGATGCAGTGGAGTGCTCATTGCACAAGGTGCCATGGACAAACTCTTGTCAAAATCTGAATTACTGGACATCTCTGATGTATTTCCAGGTGCCTGAACTGGGGTGATTTGGGGCTCACTCAGTTCATGAGCGTTCTCATTTTTTAACTCAGTCAACAACATTGCTTCTTGCTTTGACTTTTTGTTACAGCAGTCACAGCTCTTTGGTTTTTTCAGCCTTTTGCTTCTTTTGTGCTGACACTCAGGTATTTGTGAAAAGGAAAGATCACCACCTGAAGCATTTGCTGTGGGTACAGATTCAGGGAGAACAGCTGCATGACAGTCCTCTACAATTGTTTGCTTCACAATGTCTTCATCTTTCTCTGCTGCTTTCAAATCTGGATCAGCTACACATGGGTTGGTGACTGATTCCACCAGCGTGTGCCTCTTGTTCTGTTCCATGCTGCTGTTCTGCACACCAGATGAACTCTTTGGGCTGGCAGATCCCACGGCTTTGCTAGCATCTGTGGGAATCACTTGGGTCTTCGGGTCACACGGTTCAGATGTCAGTGCAGCATCTGTGCTGACTTCACAGCTCAGCTCACCTTTGCTTGCTTCCAACAGATCCTTTGTTTCGTTTCTTTGGGAAGACACCTCGTGGCTATGGCTTCCTGGCTGTAGATCTTTCAATTTACCTTCAAGAAAATCACTCCTATTTTTCACTTTGGCAGATCTTTTCTTCCTTGTGCTTTCTTCCTTGGCCTCGGAGCCATCAGACTCTGAATTTTCTATGCTGGAAAGCAATCCTTGTGAAGCTCTTCTTGTGTGGTATCTTGGGCGTTCCACCTTCTGACCTGCTGTACTTGAACTACAGTCTTGACCTGCTGTGTCAGTCTTCAAGTTCTCTTCTGACCTCCTAGTGCTCTTGTTCACTTCCTCATCAGGGCCCGCTGAAGCAGGAGACTCCTCTGCGCTGCAGTCCTCTGCAGTTCTCTCGGGTAGGTTGCTTTCTTTATTTGTATTTTCTGTAGCTTTCCCAGAAACTGCTTTCTGCTTTTGGGATACATCATCTTTAGCCTGTGGCACCTTCTTTTGCCCAGGTTTTTCATTGTCTTTACATCTGTCTCTCTTTTGGTGGCCATCTTCCTTATCCTGACTAGCTGTTGTACTTTCTACAGTTTCTGACCGCCGTCTTGAAGAACGCCTTAGTGCTTTCTGACTAGGAGACGCATGTGGAGCCTGACTGTCATCGCATGTGACCTGGTCAGATGACACGGTCGTCTCTGGGGGTGTATTTTCTTTAGAATCTGTATCTAATGCCTGGGTCTTTTCTGTTTCTGCTATCAGATCTTCAGCTCTTTTAATTTCTAGTTCTGTAGAATGGAGAACTTGTGACTGAGCAAGGAGACTGCGTTCCATGTCTTCTACTGCAGAAGAAAGATTATTTTTTATACTTTTCGAGGCAGAAGAGTCTTGTATGCTTTTGTCTTGTTCTGACCTGATTAATGACTTGGACTGCTTATTCCCTTGGTGCTTCATTTTACTCTGCCTGCGAGTTAGCCTTCGTATTGCAGTAAATATTTGTTCAGATTTTGTAGGCTTTTTATTTTCTTCTCCAGATTTTTCTGGTTTAGCACTAGTCTTCTCCTGTTTACCTGCCACAGAAGCTCCTCCAGACATCTCTGATATACCATTCAATGCTGAAAGACTGAAGGGTCTGTTCTCTGAACTACCAAATTTCTCCAAAGTAATAAAAGACTGACGTCGGCTTGCAGGCTGGGGTGTTCCAGAAATTATGTCACTTGAAGTTGAACTGTTGCTGACATTTGAAGTGTTTTCATTCCCTGCTAAGAGCTCCTTTGAAGCCGTTTCCACAGTACTTCCTTCTAATCCCTCTCCAGTTGATGGCTCCTCCAGAATCATTCCACTTGTCTCCTTTCTTGATTCTTCCTCACTGTGTAAAGTTGAGCTCTCTTCTAGGTGAGTAAGAGGTGACTTGTTCTTTGCATTTTCTTCCTGTTCCAAAAATATAAACAGCAAATACTGTAGTTTTGCTATGAATAAAATATTAAAAAAACAGCTCTGTTGGAATAGAAAACAATACAGCCAGAACGTTTTCCAAACCACCCTTCTTTCCAATTATTTTATTATCTGTCCTTCAGTAGTTATGAAAGACAAAGATTGTGGTTTGTTAGGTTTGGGTTTTTTTAAGCCATTTAATCCCAAAACATGAAGAACAGCAAAACTGTTTTATTTAAGTTTTGCCAGATACTAACAAACCTACTACTCAAACAGGTTTTATGAAAATTCTGCTGTCTGTTTGGAACTATAGCTGCTTATGGCAACTCCTCTCCTAAAGGGAATAAATCTCTATTTAGGACTTATAAGTTCCAAAATCTACTATTTAATCCCCTGAGGCCCTTACAACTTCATCCAAAAGAAGTTCAGAATGTGGAAACTTAGCAAAGCTGTTAAAAGTGTGGTCTGCTAGAGTAACATGGAAATTAACGTTAAGACTTTTAGCAGTGAAAATAGTTCCAGAAAAATCATCATGTATACCAAAACACAGCTGCTCGGGGAAAAAAGTGTTATGGAAGAGAAGGCAACAGTGTTGTGTTTACTTAATCATAGACATACAGCACCGGAGCAAGTCACAGTAAGTCTGTGCTGCAGCTCTGGGGTATTTTCACCCCACTAAAATATTAGTCAGTGGTATCACACAGACATGGCCGACCGTAAGTCCCTACAATACCTGTAGCTGTCCACACTAATTATATAAATCCTCGCATTTTGAAATGAAGTCAAAATGCATAATGATTGGCCCGTTCTGATTCAAATTGTACAAAGCAGAACACAGCACAAAAAACCCTGGCAACAGTATTTAATTCTCATCTGGTGATGAGAACGAAATACGAACCAGAATTGCGATCAGCATATTCTGCAGTCACAGAGCCTGTGTCAGTATCATTCTGGCATGGAAGAAATAATGGATGCCAAAGAAAGAGAAGATATTCTTACGGGTTAAACAATACAGAGAAAGGAAATTATTCGTGTGAGCTAATACATTTGAGGGTGCTTCTTTTTGTTTGAGGAGTTTCCAAATGAATCTTAAAACCGTATCATAGCCAATAATAAAAGATTTATACCATTAATTACCAAAGCTACTAATATGAAGAAAACATCAGCAGTATGGTTATTATTCTAGTATCTTAATTATTGTAAGACAATGACAAATTACCTGAGGGTTGGTTTTTGTATCTTCTTTTGCATTTTCTATTAAAGACGATTTTTCCCTGAAATAGAAGTTACTTGAGTTAGAAGTGTTGCAAAAAGGGAGGACACCTTCAATGCACACACTGCCACTTCTCCTGTATACACTGGCCCCCTTTACTTACAAAGAATCTTCCTGGCTTTGAGTATACTGAGAAAATAAGGTACTATCTTGTGATGCATCCAAATTGTTGTACATAGCAGGAATACCAACTCTGAAACAAAACCAGAAATTGGAAGTCAGATTCTTTTATTGAAAAACTGAAAGGAGGACAGGGTAGTGTAACACATTCATCACCAGAGAGCAGATGTTTGTGTGAGGTGGACTGAATGTCCAAACTCTATAGACCACTTGAACAGCAACACGCATCCCACTAGGGGCTGCTGCACAAAGAGTGGAGCAGTGCACGTGAAGTGTCCAGATGCACTGCAGCTGCACACTCCACTCTGGTTTGGGCAGGAAAGATGCAATACTGCAACTGGCTGGTACAACCTCACACCCCAACTGGCACAGCAAACTGCAAAGCGGAACCAGGTCATGATTTATCTCCTTATTTCCAGACTGCTCTTGTCAGTTGCATTAAATCTTTTTTCATTTTGAACATGCTTTTGGAGAAAAAAGCTGTGGTTGGGATCCCACTCTGCAAAGAACTGATCCACATACAGAAGCCCACCGAGTTCCTGTCAAGCACCACTGTACATAAATTTTGCTTACCCTGTGTTTTTGCTGCCTGAAAATACTCCAGTATTATTCTCTCACATTAAAAAGAGGATAATTCAAAACATTCCCTTGCAATTAAGATGAGTCTTGGGAATATCCTAGTTTGAGATTTGCTGCTGACATAAGCTGTCTCTTCAAATTTAGAAGTCTTTCCTTCAGATCAGGTAAAAAACTTTCAACGATTTAAGAAAAAGTACATCTTCCATTTCATATAGCAGAAGTTGTGGATTAAAAATGCAAACTCAAAATTACCAAACTCCTAACAATTAACAGAGAGTGTATTTAATCAAAATAGGAACTACAGATCATAGAGTAATTTGGTTGCTTTAAAATAGTAAAGCAAGGAACTTTGTTAGCTTTAAACTCTGTAACTTGTATGGAAGAGTAAGACTTAATTGCCTATAATAGTCTAATACGGAAACTGTCAATCTGACATACTCAACGTAATGATATTCCACATTAAGTTTACAACAGAGTAAGTCACAAACCTCTTTGACCTAAGCACTTCTTTTTGATGTTCAGTCAGTACTCTTGCTTTTGTTTCTGGAGGAATATACACAAAATCAACGGATTTCTCCTCTTCCAAAAGTATCTCACTTTTAGCCTTCGAAGATGAAAATTCTAGTTTCAACTACAGAAAAAAAGGAAGAAAAGAAAGAAAAGAAAAAAAATTAGAAACAAACCAGAGGAACTGGAAGTGTTTTCCTACTTCAGGTACAGTCATCCCAAATGGAACAGTTCTCAAATAACCACTATTCTTGCAGTGGCTATATATATATATATATATGTAAAAATATAATACAAAAATATTAACTGACACAAATCCCTCACTAGGCGATGATTTTCTTCACAAGTGATTTTTTACCCCCCCAACACTACCACTGAGGAGAGACCCTGCAGCCCCTCCTCCATGCTTGTAAGCAAGCTCCTGCACTTGGCATCTTGAAGTTCAAAGCCTGTAACAGGGGAAGGTACCTGAGTGCTCCTGGGGAATACTATTTATGGCTGGTAGACTGAGCCATTCCTTAGGAATACAATATCCATGCTCCCTAGTGTGCGTGACCAATTCAGAGCATACAGCACAGGTCTACCAGGACCAAGACCCACCTCAGGACCTGAATTGGTCACAAACTGCACCCAGACCAAGGGGTGAATTTTGCATATGGTTGCCACTCCCCCATCCCTTGAGCAGCCCTCCATGAGCCCTCAGCAATCTGTAAACTCAGCAGAGAATTTTACTGAACTTAACTGAACTTTACTGAACTTAACTGAAGCGTGCTATACAGCATAAGTTTGAAAGAAAAATGTTTCAGCATCACAACAGTCACTAGTTTTTACTGAACATCTGCAGCAACACACAGGACATTCTGCTACAGAACAGAATGGATTTGACTCTCACACCCGTCTGCAGACACCTCACCTTTGCAGATGTCACTTGCACATTACTAGACTTGTCTTTTACTTTGTCTTTTTGTTCACTCATCTGTGCCAATATAGAACCTCGGTTTTGACCCAGCTTCACTTCCATTCCACTTATCTTTGCATCCAGCTGTGAATTTTCCATCTATTCAAAGAAAAATACACTGAATGCATTGTACGGAGAAACCTCAAGCTCACAAACCCATCCTGAGATGTATTGATTTCTGTAACTAAGCCATCCCACACTCCCATTTTCCTCTAAATTACGTAGAGGACAACTTAAAAAATTATTTCAAACAAGCTAGCAGAGCTCACAATTTAAGGACCAGCTGTTAAGGACCAGCTCAGTCTTCTGACAGCACTTACCCTATGTAGCTTCTCATTCCAAACCTGAGGCAAATGCAGGCCGATGACAGTAAAAACCAAAACTGACTTAGCCACTACCTTCTGAATGATTCCCCTGGAGTTATACACAATAAAGCACCCAATAGGGTCAACAAAATATTTACCGTGTCAGAAAATGGGCCACTGTATTCTTCAGCCCCCTCAATGCTTTCAAAACCAGGCAGCAGGAGTGGAATTTTCTTTTTGGCTTGGCTTAACACAGATCTGTTCAACAAAAAAGAATTTTAAACTTATAAAGGGATGGGGGAAGGTACAGAACAAGACCAGCAGGTATCCTGGCTTGCACAAAAAGCAGAATACAAACAGTGACTAGAGCAATACTAAGTCATTTGTACATAACCTGAGATCTCTTCCTTTAAAAATATATAAATACAAAAAACTATGTCTCTTACTTCAACTCTTCAGGATACTTCAATGCTGTAGTCTTGGCGAACGTTGCATTCCAGAAGTGGGCACACTGGTTGCGGATCTGTTTGCTCTTATGCTGAAATGCTACACAGAGCAACGGTGAAATCTGCTCCAGCAGTTTGCTATCGTAAGAGCCAGTGCAGTGAGACTGTAAACACTGGATAACCTCGGCCAGGAGTTTTTCCAGCTGAGGGAGAGAAGAAACAATAGGGTGTTTTATTTAATTCAAGTGTTTCACATATTCACCATTTTAAAGTTTACAACATTTATGAATTATTATCCCATAGAATAGTATGGCCCAAAGTTTAAACACCCCACCACACAAAGTCTAACAGGTAAGTTTAGTGGTCCTCCCCTCAGCTAAATTTTCAGGGGAGAGAAAAAAAATAAATTAAAAATTAAATCTCTACCATCAGCGTACTTTTAATTTTCGTTTAGAATTTAAAAGGAATGGCAAAACTCTTGTATCACACATTTTCCCAAACCTCCAGCAAATTTACCTTGTTGTTAAGATTACTGTACACTTTAGATACATCAGCAAGCCTGCCAAAACAAACAAAAAAGTTTAGATTTTGCCATCTCACTTATCCCAAGCACAAGAATTAAACACTTCCAGGAGTTTAGTGCACTCAAGCACTGCACATTGGTTTTAGTATACAACTTGATGAAATAATGTTGTGAAACTACCCTCCCACTGGGTGATTAGAACATTTCCTGATGTGAACAGTTTCAAAGAAGCTCACCCTTTAACCCCCCTGATATTTACATGCTAATTTTAAGATAAACTAGTGGGAAGACAGCAGTAATCGGTACAAACTTCAAATTAAAGTTTTTCTTATGAAGTAATTTCTAACCACGTTCTTTGTGTTGCTCTTAACCCTTTCCCCAAACAGATTTCCCAGCCCCCATAAATATCTGCATTAAAAAGCTGACGCACTGCCTAAACGAAGTCATTTCATGTAAATAAATCCCTGGATAGAGCATCCTGAAAAATGTGAGAAAACTGCATTTAGCAGTTCAGTTTATAAACCTGTGACCTCCAACCTGAAGAGGTCCCCAGACGTGTATTTGCTTGGATATGCCTTCCTTCAGCATTATACATCCAGCACTCACTTCTCCCTTTTAATTCTAAGAAAGACCATGTTCAAACCAAAGCAGATGCGATGGGACATGGAGAGAGGTGGCGTTCAACTGAACCTAATACAGGAACAAGTAGGGTCTTGCCTATGACACAGGGACTCCTGATGAATTTTAGGTTAGAGATGGCGGCCCTGCTTCAAGTTCCAGTAGAAGTTACAATAAAACTCTTGCAGGTCGACTGGCAGCATCCCACTCTATCCTATTGCATTCTCTTGTCCCAAATCCCCCAAAGCTGCGTTTCCTTCTCTTTTCCTTATCTCAAGCAAAGTGTACAACTCTTGCATCATCAACAGATCAGAGACAAGCCTCTGCCAGCCCCCTCCCACCAAGCCCCTAATAATTCCATCATGTCTTGGGAAGAAAAGTCTGTAACAATTAAGTAAACAAAGCCACATGAAAAGAGCAGTGAGCAAAGGAACATTTCTCATTCCTTCTGCTTAAAAACTTCCAGGATTTTAGTGCGCACCATCTAATTATGATTTCTCCATTTCCTACAAAACATTACACAGTTCCCACCCACTAGAAAATACATCACTGTAAATAAGTATCTTCACTGCAGTGAAAATAAACACCAGGCAGAAACCAACTACTTGTCATGTACAGATGACAATACATTCACTCTGAAGAGACAACAGTTTTACCAACCAGACTTGCAGAAAGCCTATAGGTTTCCTTTCGTGTACAACCAGGTAGGTTTGGGTTTATTCCTAAATACAAGCATTACAATGGAGGCTGCTGCCTCCATTGAGCAGTAGGGGGGTTGAACCCCACTGAATCTCCGTGGCAGGCAGGGCCGCACTGTGGGCTGTAAGGCGACTCGCTGCAGCGTGTGGGTCAGGCTGCCCCTTTGCTCAGCACAAGCACCCCGGGTTTACACAGCAGTTGTAGGAACCAGGGAGCTCTCAGTGACTACCTGGCAGACCCATCCTTTCTGTGGTGTGTGGATGTGCTACGAAACCTGCACCTACCAGGTGAGCTGAACCTAGTGACAGACATGGTGCTCTTGAGGGTAAGACTCAGCAGGAGCTGAAAATTCTTAATGCTAACGCCCTGAAACCCCCTCAGCTGTATTTATTCAGATACATGGCTTGCCACAGACCACACAAAATTTCACCAATATGCAGCAACACAATGAATCCAGTCTTCCAACCGTTTGTAAAATACTCACTTTGTTCTTTCATAAAACACTGCCAGGGGTTTTGAAAAAATTGCAAACATAGTCCCAATCACGGAAGGCAATGAAACGTGGCTGATGATGTTGTGAAGAATAGCAATAATTGAAGGACCAACAGAGACCAACGTTTCTGAACAGATTTCTTTGGAACTGAACACATGGAAAGAGTTTAGTAACATCACCAGGAGTTTAAACAGAGAGGCAAGCTTTCCAAGGGGCTCCTTTTTCTTCTTAGACCAATCTGTAGGTGTCTGCGGAGCTAACATAAAAACAGTTTTATAAATTAGATTTTTCTACCTAAAAGCGCGCATTACAACAAAACATATTTGAACTTTTAGTCTACGTGAGAAAATAAACTTTGATTCCCGAACTCTATCTACATACAATTTAAAACCAGACCTAACACTAGACATACATTTTTTAATGCATCATTTTATAATCCCACTACAGATATGATTCCTATTTCTCTTATTTATACTTATGCTTGGTCACACAAATGACAATGCTTTTAAGTGTCTTTAATGCCTACTTGCAAAGAGACAGCAACCACTCCACAGATACTAGCTGGCACAAAAATTCTGGAACAGGGGAGGAGGAAGGAAGTGGAAGAATCAAATTTTAGTGGTTGATTTATCTGTAAGTGTGGGCTTCAATCGTGTTTTGCTCATCAGCATTTCCAATTAAGTAATTTCATTCTTCCAGCAGTCCAATGTAATGTCTTGTTGCTTTAACAAATTCATATGGGGCAGAGAAATGATCAACACTTTGAGTTTTAACTGAATTACATTATTTTGTAAATTATTTCTTCAGCTTTAGTAGTTGTAAATGGGAGTAGGGAACAAAACAAAGAACATTTCATATACAGTGACCTTTTGTTTTCTGTTAAACCTATTCGTGACTATTTTACGTGAAGCAGCTTCAACTGTTACGTGAAAGTTCATTACCAGTTTCAGGCAGGTACTACATAATTAGACTGTGGATTATGTTCAAGCATTACCACCTCAACTTACATCTGAACAAAGAAGAAGCTGCAGATTTCACATGCAAAAATGAAATACCAATTCCTACTTCAGAAACCAGACGTGTTTTACAGTGAACTGAGAAGTGGCCTCAACATTTACACCCGTTACAGATGTATTTTGTCAGACTACACAGTAACTGCTTCACAGCTCAACAAATAGAAAAGATCTGATACTCTAATATCCATACTGGGTGATGGTTTTAGATTCTTTTTATGATTTTTTTGTCAGTCCTCCAGTGCTTATAGTATGGTTAGCATATACAGACGACTGATATGCTACAGTCACCACTTCTGCATCTACAACAAACTTAATTTTTACCTACTCTGAAATAAAGACACAGAAAACCCCAATATTCAAGTATTTTCTTACATCTGTGTTTTGGCTGATATTTAGTACCGTATGGTGCAAAGTTGATGCAGTCAACCATGACGGATACAATATGGGTGAGACCATCCATCATTGAAATCATCTGAGGAGGAAACAGAAGTCATAAGAAAGCCAAGAAGAGCAAGAGTGACAGAAAAAAACATGCTGGCCATTCTGGCCAGGAATGCAAACAGCTTTTATATTTAAAAGGGGATGAAATTTGTCCACATTATCAGGTAGACTCAGATAAGGTTACGTCTTAAAATACACACGTTTACACAAGCTGAAAATTGAGTCTTCCCACGCTACACAAGTAAGACGTAAGCACACAGACTATCTGAAGAAGCAAACCAGTAAGAGGCAGCTGCAAAAAAGTGCTAGATTTAAGAAGGTGCATCAAAAGCGTTACAGTTGAAGGCACTAGATCTCCAGCAAAACACATCACCAGATGTCAGTGTGCACATTAAGTTCAGTTACTGCACAAAGCCTGATTCTCAGAGGAGTCACTGCAGGCATAACAATGAGGTTGTCACTCGCATTCAGGAAGCACAACTGGTTTCTGGTACACGGAAAAAGATGGGTCAAGGGTATTTTTTTCCCCCCAGTCCATCACAAATTCTAAATAAAACAAAACTTGCTTCTAAAAGGAACATTGATAGTGTGGGCCGAAGAAAGTTTAGTTTCAATATAACTTACATACTGAAGCTTTAAGTTGTTTAAATTGAGCTTGCTTAATTATTAATTTGTGAAAACTGAAGCTTATAATTGGGATACAGCAGCATCCAAAGTAAGTTAGAATGCTGTAATCCTGCAAATTCCAGGTTTTCAAATTCCATTTTTCTATCTCAACTGTTTCTCATTTGCTCTTTTCACAGTATTTTTTTCAAGAGGTGGTCAATTTGGAACCATAAAGGATTTTACATGGCAAAGTTGATGGTCACTGACACCTACATACACTTCACCTCCCCACATGATGTGGGCTTGCAATTGGACAAGAAGATAAAGGCTTCCTTTTTCAAAAGCTTTCTCTTTGACAAAGCTTTGGAAGTAAAATCTTTAAATTTTAGCGTACAAGGTTGGTAGTACCAGGAATACTGCAAGCTCTGCCCTCTGAATGCTACAGGGCTACTCCACCCTCCTTCCTAATTCACGTGCCTTGTTTTGTGGCACTTGTTAATTCAGCCTGAAGTCACTGTATAAATACGCACATTTCAACTGGACAAATAATATTTATCATGATGATATTCACTAAACCATTTCTACTTAAATAGCTAGAATACAAATCCAAAGACTGCTTAACCTCTCTTTTAATATTTATGTTTTAGCATTATTTTACTCTTTTATTTCAATCAATTTCTAGATCAACTCCTGTTAGTAAACCAGAATTTTTTTACAGCTTTAAATCTCACTTAAAACACTTATAGAAAGCACTACATTAGAGTTTACAATAGGTTATTTTATCTAATTTAAAATACAACTCCTAGTATTTATATAGTTCAATATCACTGGTTTATACTCACTACTGGAGTTTCACCTTCTAGCCCAGATATTATTTTGGCACAAAGTTCTTCACAGCACAGGTTTTCTTCTGCTGTTGCAACTAAAGCAGCACAGCGAGCAAATGCTCTATACAGGTCTGACCAAGTGCGCAACAAGGATTTCATAGTTGGCTTTAACAGAAAGAAAAAAGTTTATAAATATCAATGCCTGTACAAAGAAAAAAAAACTTGCTTTAACCTTTCTTCTTCTTCTGTCAAAACTGATTTAACCCAAGAAATCCTACCCTGGAGCAGTGGCCCAATGTATACAGATATTGGTTACAAACTCAAGTAGTACCTCAGGGATTTCACAAAACCCACATTGTTACTAATCAACATTATGTATTCACTGTTACCTGTGGAAATCCCTGTGTGGGGAAGATCTGTGACACTGGTAGCAACAATGCATTGTAAACAGCACTGAAGTTGTGCTCCAGTGCATCCCCCTGATTTACTTCATTAGTCTGCAAAGAGAAAACAATTTTCTAATTAGTGAAAACTTAATGATGAATAAGGCTGCTTTAAGTATGTTTGCTTTCTATGTAAGATCTGTGCAAGCTCAACTGCCAGTGACATTTTGAAATTAGCTAGTCTCAGTTCTTTCAAGAGTTCAAGCTGATCCTACTATTTAAAAAGATAAAAAACACTGCTTCTGAATTCCAAAAAAACTTCATTCCAAGAATAAAAAATCATTTAGAAAATGCCTTGTATGGTTTTTGTTTCAGTTGCAGTAAATGATGACAGCAACCTATTTAAAGCACCTAAGACTTTCTTCATAAAATCTAAGCTTTTCAGGTCTAATGACTACGTGAGGGCTAGAGTTCAGTAACTCCCACATTTCAGCTACTTCTAGTAAGTAATCTGCAGAGCCTGTTAAATATTACAGTTCATACGGCTTTCAGTGAGGCTTCTGGTCAAGAAGCCTAAGAAACACTCTTTCAATTACATCCTAAACATCACAGGTTCATATTTGTTCTATTTTCACAAACAAGCCTCTCATTGTTTAGAAGTTAACAGGCCCTGGAGGGCAGGCTTCCATCTTTTGTAGCAGCAAGACCATTCCAAGGAATGAAGGCTTGAAGCACATCTATAAACACATTTATCATCTTAAAAAAGGAGAATGTTCCCAACACTATACTGGACTCTGTACTCAAGAGTGATCACTCTTTAAACCAGCTTAAACCACTCTCTGGATTGCTGTTCCACTACTGCCCTTCATCCCACCTTGCTGCAAATGTCCACACTCCAGTTAGGGATGTTTAAAATAAATGCTGCTTAATGTTACTACGACTTCAAGACACGCAATTCCTAAAAATACATTAAGATAGAAGAGAGGCACAGTTTTCCTGAGGGTTTTTTTGGGGGGCTGGGGAAGAGAAAAAAAAGCCACTATACCCGGTTAATCCAGTCGGTCAGCGGATTAACAACAATACTCCACATCCTCCAAAGATGCTCCTTATTTTCCACTTGCTTTGGACTCTGATTAATAATGCAAATCACAGATTCACTGAAAGCCAGGGGAGATGTGGGCCCAGACAAAACGCAACCCACAAGCGTTTCTAGGATTACAAAGAATCTAGGGAAGGAAGTTAAATAGGTGAAATACTTTCTTTAGCTCAAGTTGGAAAAACTTCTACGAGGTCTATTGGAAGCTCATTATACACAACCACTACCACATACCTCTCGTCTGTTACGCAGCATTTCAAAAGGCCGTTATGGAAAGGCAGCTGAATTAAGAACAAAGCTGGTGTTCCCTTGTAAGAGAAATTTAAGAGGTCAAAACAACATATACATCAAAATGGAACAACTGTGGCACATGTGTATCTATATACCACATTTAACTCTAAGCCAGAAATCTACAATTACTGAAACTTGTCAAAACCTGTCAGTTTTAACACTTCAAAATAAAAATGGGGGTAAAGCTGGAAACCTGAAGCTTCTGCTAGGTCCTGGTGCTTTGGCAGAATACCAATCACACTATCACTGAAACAAAAAAAAATCTCTGTTTCAAGGACTGTAAGTTTTAGAGTACTTGGCCATTCCTGCCCTGAAACGACAGGCACCTTGGTAAGGCAGGTGCACATAACATCATCAGTGTGTGTGATGATGCCTGGAACAAGATGGAGCAACCCAAGATTTGTGTATTTCGAGGATTCAGCAAGACATCCTTTGGACAACCACTGCCAAAATATTTTACAAGTATTTCAGGGTTGTTAATATTCAAGTATTTATTAAAATGCATTTAATACCCACCAGTTAAAGTTTCAACCACCTTAATGGAGTTCTGACTCTTGTATCTAAGTCAGAAAAAGCCTCCAAATGTAAATAAAAGACTTGGAGGGGGAAAAGTTGGGAGGAATTTGAAAATTGAGCTCTTATGCCAGTTCTGGTAGACAAAAGTTTTATACTACTCACTTGAGTTGAAGCATTTGCTTATTTTTGTCACACTTAGGTCTTCTCTCAGAGTTATCTGTCTACTTTTAAAAGCCCCCACATGAATTTCATGCATCCCTGGCTAGCAATGTAAATGTTTAGCTGCTTCCATAGGCTGAAAAGCTTTCTCTCCTCTGCTGCAAATAATCAAATTACCTTCCTTCTACTGGTGGACGCAGTAGTAGAAGAGCTGATCATCATCCAATTTTAGAAGTCTAAACAACCTTTTAGACTTTTAATGAACCTAACTGGTAGCACTTAGCTCCCACTAAGTCTGCCCTCCACCAAACACAAACCACACACACACACACACACACTCACACACAGAAGTGTTATTTAAGCCTTTTCTCACAGGTTGTTTTTTATATTTTCCAACTTGCTCCCTTCCAACACAGTGCACAGAACACATGGCGGCACTCCCCTTAGGGCTCATTACGACTAAAGTAGGACAGAGTAGTTCTGCCGACTAATGAGCACCCCCACTTTTCCTGCAGTAGACCACGGCCTAGCCTTTAGCTCACCATGACTTCTGAAATTCTTCTGAAATGATGCTGTCTAACAACATTCTCTGCTTTGCTTCTGTGCAGGTGAATTTTTCCTGAGGAGTAACATGTTCTATCTTTAAGGTCTTTGCTCTGTTGACTTCAGAACATTGCCCCAAAACATCAGTGTTCACCACATAAGTAGTACTACGCTGTTTGACTGTGCAGTCTCCTTGTGAAGCCTACTGTGAGCAATCCCCTTTCAGTATTACAGTACTTCCATTATATCCATTTTTAGTTACAGACAGTTAATTTACTCATCAGAAATGAGGGCTGGAGACAAAGTCTGCATTCTGGAGCATGGAATATGATTTCATGAAAGATCTGGATCTCACGACTTAGGAAGTGCTCTGTACATCTGTGCAAATATGACATCCTAATACCTTTCAGCAGTAATAAAGACGGAGTTCTGGAATGAAGTCAGACTTACATTTAAAAGATCCATATCGGCAACCTGGTAAGCTGGAGATCCCAATACTTTTGGAGGCAACTCCTTAACAGTAATATCAATGAGGGACTAAGTAGGGGAAAAAAAAAAGATGTATGTAAATACTTTTTTACTGAGGCCTTGAATATTTTAAGTAACACCACAAATTAAAGCAAAATTCTAACACCTGCTTCCCTTCAGTGAAAATAATAAAAAAAATCCATCATTTCAGTAACTGTCCTTCTAAAAACTAGACAAACCCACCCAACTTACCAGTATTTTCTGCACAGGAAGAGAATTTGATTTAACAGTGTTTTTTAAGGCCTGGAGCAACATAGTCAGGATTTCTGACCCTTGCTTTTCTTTCTTGTTTCCTAGAATAAAGCATATTTATAGTTAGAGCAGACCAAAGTAATGGCCACTCTATCACTTACAACGTTTAAGTACTGTAAGATCAAAAATATCCTGTGTGTATTTATAAACATGTAACAAGTACTTAATAGATTTGGATACCAAGTCTCTGCTCTGAAAAACAGTGTAACTGAAATTTCAAGATTTAAATAAAAAAGAAAAAAACCCAAGTTTTATTAGTAAAGCAGCAACAACCTTAACACTGACACGCTAAAAAGAGTTGTGAAATTTTGCATTCATCTAAGTAGTGCACTTTGTTCTTCTTACGCTTTTCAGTTAGATCTTTCAATATAAAGGATTTCATCATTAAGAATATCCTGGACTTTCAAATCCTTAATAGAGCAATGAATACATTTTTAAAATAGGGAACAACTTACTTCTATACATCTGTAAAGACATCATACTACGAAAATTTAATTAAACAGGTAGCAACAGTCACATAACAAAGACTTTACACTCATTTGAGTAATACACTGAATGTCTCAATTTCCCAACACCAAGGTCTTGAGGAGGGGTTTGGGGTTTTTTTGGAACTGGAAAGATTTCTTCAGCAAGAAAAGCAGTTCAAGTGCTTTAATGCCTTCCTTACAGCTACATGCAACACACTTGCAGTCATACGCTCTTGTGTCTTTCCTAATAATCCTCACTGGAATAGATCACTATGATTTTGTATTTGTCAAACAAATATGCAGGCATCATGAAAAGTATCAGCTGTTGCTTCAAAAAGAACTGATGATGATGCTTACAACCAAGCTTTACCAGCAATGAAGCAAACACTACTTAAGGTCTTATCTTACAGAACAACTCTTAACTAGTCAGCAATGACAAAAAAGTACACTTTCTACCTGATTCAATGGCTGTTTTCACGTATCCATTTATGTCCTTCCATATAACATTCAGCATACAATCTACAAGATAATACAGTATTTTTTTCAGTTTGTAATAAGAACATCAAACAACACTGCAGTTAATATACAAACAGTGTTAAAAGAGCAGACTTTAATGTAAGCCAAAACTGACATAAGCTTTTAAAGCAAGTCTGAGCAGGTTTATTAAATGCAACACCAAAGCATTATAGCAAGTGGTTATTTCTTCTTGTTTCCCTCACTCACTTTATTTTCCAGAAAATAAAGAAAATTTTGCTATTAAATTCTTACCAGGAACTTCTTTTCCGATTGCAATAAAGCCATCCTGAACTGCGCTGATAAGTGTGCTGGCATGCTTACAAAAAAAAGAAGGGCTACCGATCAGAGGGTACTGGAGAGGCTCTAGGAGAACAAAAAACACATTCCATACATCTCTTATTTTGCAGTCTACTGGTAAGACAAGCCTTAAAAATAACCAATTATCTATGTCCACTTACAGCATTTGACATAAAACCAACTCCTAGTATTAAAGATGGCAACTGACAGTTTTAAATGTTTAAACATTTCATTCTAATAGACATCTTTAAATGCAGCAAAATTGGCAGTTTCAGATCATGTGAAAGTACTTCAAAAAGAAATATAACTCACATACCTAAACTAAGCACAAGTTTGTTTTGCTTAGCAAAATCTAAAACTTCTGGTCCCATCAGGAAGTGAAGCAGCATTTCAATTCCCAAAAGCTGAATGGAAGGAATCGCCACCAGTCCTGCTGTGCTAGAATTCAAGTTCATCCTTGGTGTGGCCGGACTTGCAAACGGGTACGGACCTACACGGGTGAAGAAGAATTACAATGTCTTGTGTTTCACCTGCAATCAAGTGAAAGGAAAGATCCAACAGACCAAAAGTCCAGAATGAACATGAAAAGAAGAAATCATAGAATAGCACTGGCTAAAAGGGACCTCTAAAAGCCAGCCAGAAACTTAGCATGAGCTCCTGAAGTAAGGTTTAACATCACAGTCATAACCATGCACTTTGAAAGTATAAACATCTTTCAAAGATTGCAAAGTCTCAGACACCAAACTTCATTTTAGCAACACAAGTCTCCACAGAAGCTGTGACTGCAGAGCAAGACATACGCGATGCTACACACTAGTTATACAGTCACTCCACTGCTATGGTAAGAGTTCCCAGTAGAAACTTTTACAGTGAACCCAAGTCTAACAGGTCTGGTTATGACCTCAGTTACAATCTCACAGAACTAAGATGAGGTTTTTTTGTTAAAAAAAGGTAACAAAGGAAGAGCTGCACAACCAGGACACTTCCACAACATACCTGAGGCTTCTAATTACAGCAGTCTACAGAAGCTGTGAATACTGGGCTTTCCATACAGAGAGGAAAAGAGGCCATCCTTATCTCTGTCATTTAGATCTAAGCTCAAGTACGTGTTTGATTTCACATATATTTCAAGTACGAAAATTACTGATGTGTTGTGATCACTGGGTTACTACTCAGGCAGAAACTAAAAATACTATAGAAATGATAATGGCATCTATAAACAGCACATCTATGAATACATGAAAAGCTACATTTCAAATGAAAGCTCCCTTGCAAAAGAACATAAATCAGGACATGAAAACTGTTCCTCAACACAATTTGATTAGCACAGTCTTATAAACTGGACATACTGACTACAGCGGCCTAATTTTAACCAACTTAAATCACTACCACTAAGCTCTCCAACAAGCATACAGAAAAATTACTGCTTCACTGCAAATGAAAAAGCATAAAGGTGTTAACTAGAGCAGACTGCTTTCAGCACCTAGAACAGAGTTGAAAGCAGGTTTGTATTTTAATACCTGATTTCTGTACAGGGGTTGCAGAGACTAAACTTTGGTTGCCTGGTACACGTGAGGGAGTTCCTTGCAATGCTGGAGAAGAATCCAGACTTAAAGTACTTTGGATTAATGGTACACAAACCTGCAAAGACATCGAGCCTCCTCAGTGAAAACAGGTATGACACATACAAGCCATAAGCCACAAAGAACCATATGTTTCAAGTATCACATAGACTGCTCACAGCACCAGTGTTCCAGAGTTTCTGGGCACTTATAATAACATGTTTAGGATGCTATATAAGATATGCATACTGATACATGAATTAGAAATGGCTAGATGAAACAAAAACTCATGTTAGAAAGATCTGACTGTACCATAACTAAAAAGGTAAGATTGTTTTTAATTTACTCCCTCCCTGAAGTTTAATTTAATGATATTCAGAAGCCTAATGCAAACACTACATATATTCCAGCAATAATGTGAGCAGTAATGAAACACCTACATCATTTTTCTCTCTCTATGCATTTTTCTAAATATTTTATGGTATTTTCAGCACGTTTTCCTGTGGTAGACTTTCCAAAGCGTATACTGCCCAGTGAAAGGACAAAACAGTTCTTCTCTACCGTGCTTACGTTTACCAGTGTTCTGCACTCACTGGAGATTTTCACCCAGATGCTCACACAACATGCAGATATGCTCTCAGCTCTTTTGGGGCTTTAAAAAGATTGCATGTATAGTCCCACTACACGTATAGCTTGTGCTATACATAACACACAGAGAACACACAAATTCAAAGGTCAGATTTGGTTCCTTAAGAGTTTTATTTTAATAATAAACTAGAGAAGAGGAAAGTAGGCACAGAGCAAGTTAGGGTAACGAAGAGGGGACGTAGCTTCACACCCTCCACACAGGCTGATTAACCTATGATTATTTTCAGTTGTATTACCTGTTCAAAGTTGGCAGGCAGCTGAGGTCCCAGCCTCATGAGTAAATACCACCAGACCTCCAGCTTTGTCAGGGCCAAAGCCTCTGTTCTCACATGGATTGAGCTCAGTGGCTGCATCAGCAATTTCAGCCTTTTAGCACTGCACAATATATCTTGAAGAAGCAAGCAAAACGTATTTTTAAGCAACATAAACAATTAAACCACAGAACAAGAGGAAAATTTTTAAACCATTAGGTTTTTTCCTAATATATTTTAGCTAAAAATTCAGTTAATGACAATTTACAAAACTAAAATTATAGTAAATTCACCAACCTTTCAGACTATTTTACTGCTCTAATTGTTGTCTAGAACAAACCTGGAGATAGCAAGAATCCGATACTGAGACTGAAATGAAATCTACTGCATACCAACATAAACAGAAGAAAATTCACTCATGTTTGCTATGTCAGAGTCCTGTCTGCCACAGTAAAAGAAAAACCAGCCTCACTGGAACAAGCATAATGAACGCCAGTCATGCCATAGATTTTTATCTTCCGACAGAATCAAGTCCTTTGTTAACTAATTTATGGGAAACAGTGACCAGAACAAATGAATGGATAAGAAACAAATTTAAATGACAAGTTAGGTTAAATTCAGCTAAACTAAGAAATGTCCACATTAAGCTTTTTCAGGACATACAGTAAAGAGAAACACAATCAAAAAATAATTATTGTGTGTTTTTAGACTTGTTCGGGTCTCAGTTACACCTTTAGAGGAACTTTGTTTAACACCTGTAGAATCCTGAAGCATTGTTCTTCTCCAATTAACCCATATAGTCCAAAGTAAGATCTACAGAATGTTTTATTCTCTATTTAATTGCCAGTTGGACCAACTAAAGAATTACAAAAGAAATGTTTGTTAGTTTTATTCTATTCATTTCTCATAGCAGAAAAAATTAGAACTACTGATCTAACTGCTCCTTTTCCTTACAATAAAAAAAAAAAACAAAAAGCCAAATTGAATTCAACTTACACATATACACACAGTATATACCACTATGTGTGTGTGTCTATATACGTATACCACTATGTATACACCACCAATATACTATGCATATACCCAGTGGTACGTGCCATGGTATTGACCATGACTAGACAGAATATTCTCTTCCAGTTACATAAAGTGACTGCAGTCAAAACAATTCAGGTTAACTTTTTTTAATCTACCTGGATTTAGAGCAAAATTATCTATTAGACTCTTCCATGCAATGAAGGCTATTTTCTTTACCACTGGTGAGCCACTACGAAATCCAAGTTCCTCCAATTGCAGCAACGAGTTGATAAAACTGCCACTACGATGCAGAGTCTGAAGATAAAGAAGTTCACAATTAAGTTACTTGTGTTGTCAAAAATCCCTTCCCTAATGACTCATGATTGTAGAACTGACTGCTTTTCTGCTTACCTTTCCAAGTAATTTGACAAACAGCGGCCATAATTTTAACACGTATGTCTCATTTTTTGTAGAAAAGAGTTTATGAAGTTCTGAAATTAATTTCTGCAGACAGAAAGAAACATGATTTCTACAAGAAATATATTCTAATTATTTGAAAAAAATATGTACTCATACCAATGTCTGGAAACCCAATCAATCGGGAACGATGCTCTCACTAGATCACAATGTAATTCTGTACCACGTAGCATTTGCTGGTAAATCAGTCAAATGTTGCTACCATCTGATTACCTTCTCAGCTTAAGTTTACAGTTGGTTTCAATTATTCTGATAGTTGCAACTAGCAAATCAAAATCCATTTTCTCAAATACTTGTAGTCTCTCTGAGTCTAAAGACATAGTGACCCTAAAACCCACCTTGCTTCTGTTTGGTTTTTTTTTGTAAACATACTTAACTTCCACAGTGAATAAGGTAAAATAAATAAGCCTACAGGTCTGAAACTGAAGGGGAACATGAAAAGCTTCATCAAAAAGACCAAATGGCCTGTTGTTAAATATGCTGGGGAATCTTTTAATGGACACAGAAAACACTGACGTATTAGGTGCCTTTTCTTGCCTCCATCTTTATTCAGGCCTCCAGTGTCTGTCTCCCATTACCTTTAATAAAATTTAAAACACCCAAGCAATCAATCAACAACCCCGATCACTACTCCTGTTACCCGTAGAAAAAAGGCAGAGCATTCCCACTTACTGTGGTCATAAGGTGCTCAGTGACAGCTGCTACCTCCTGCTGTTTCTGGAGGAGCAGTGGCATGCCCATCTCCAGGGCAGTAGCACCTCGTAACTGCACCTTATGAGCTGAATGGACAACCAGAGGAATGATCAGTTTTGCCCACCTCACAGCCTCTTCTCCCATCTGGGCTGGAGTTTGCTCCACTAAGCTAGATCCAGAAAAACAAATATAGGTATTACAAATCTCCAACAGACGCATTGCTCAGATATGTAAATATAACCTTACTATCATCAATAAATGCTCTAACTCAACATGCAATTTACAGGAAATGGAGCTAAACAATTTTATTTTTTTATTTTTTCTAAGCAACTGTATTTTGATAGTTCACTTAAAACTGCAATGCTGAAGTGTTACTTCTGATAAACGTCTCTAAAAGCAGAACAGACTGACATATTCTATCACAGCTTTTTGAGCTGAATTGAGAGCCTGAAAGGAACATATCATCCCTTCTTTATCAGTGACCAAATACTAAGTTTGCATATTAACTATCCCTTGTATGTTCTTAGCAGTTCAGACCAGCTCCCACGGTCCACAGTGCTGTAAACAATACGCACCTGCTTTTGAAAAACAACTCAAACCCTGCAGCAGCACAGGTTTGCACAGACTCAATGTACATTAGCCTAGTCAAGTGTTCAGATTTTATCCTTCTGTTAGGGAGCTGTTGGAGCACAGTCTGGCAGACATTTACACCATCCCACACATGCCAGCAAGACTTTCAGAAATGGGAGGACCTGGCATACATTCAAACCAGCCTGTAGGAACCAGCTTGTCTCTAGAGCTCATGAAATTTTGCCAAGTGTCCTCTCTTTGGCACAGGTATGTCAAATTCCCATCACGACAGCCGTAATAAGGAAAACTGCTGCCTTTCGGGTAATTTTATTAAAGCCAGAGGACAAGCAGTTCTTCAAAAAACGCTGTCATCAGCCTAACTTGTGAACAAAAGCACTGTCCTGCCACTACTGTCAATCAGTCTGAGACCTGTTTATTTTCAGATAGAACTACATACTTTTTAATAACCACATACAGAGTTAAGTACATATCCACAGTAATTAAAATAAACCATTTAATAAGACATGTAATTTTCCAGAAACAACTGTCTACCACGTCTCAGGTTTGCAAAGGAGGAACTGGTGTACAATTAGCCATACGCGGAAAGTTGCTAAGTATTACGTAAAGTATAATATACAAATTCTCCGCTGCAGAAAACCAATGTATTAAAGTGAAAAAATGAACAAATAATTACTGCTTTAACTATTTCACTGTAAAATGGATCTGCAGTTCAAACTCGATCCAAAATAAATAATAGTAAAGATATAAGCTCAAGATATTTACTAATAAAAGAATCAAATTAATACGAAGTAAAGACAAAATTGATAATTCTAGCACTGCTGACCAAAACGATGCACTCTTGGTGTTGGTCCTAAAAAGTTGCCTTTGGAATTAAACAGTAATCTCAACAGCGTTACAAGAAACATTGCAGTAAAATTTGTAAAGCACCAAGGAGACATTTTAAAATAAAAACCTATATAATGAGAATTTCTCAACTAGGTAGGTTATGAAAACGAAAGCTAAAATGTAAGAACATGACTTGTGAAACACACAGGAGACTTCAGAAAGAATTCCTAACAAGCCATTAAAATCTAAAACAATGCAAGTTAATCTGAATGTTGACTACTTTCTGAGTCAGAATCAACTGTTGCATTATCATAAATGGAATATTCTGCAAATGAAGCTGCTCAGAAGAACTACTGGCTGAAGAACAAAAACAGTAGTTCACAGAGTTTCACTCTGTTGTACTGATGGTAACACAGCCAGAAGTTAAACAGCACACAGCCACTTGTTCACTCTCCCACTCCCAGTGGGATGGGGGAAGAGAAACAGGAGGAAAAAAAACAACAGTAAAATTTGCAGGTTGAGATAAAGACAGTTTAACAGGACAGAAACAGAACTGAAAATAGTAATAATGATGACAAAAGAATTGGAACATAGAAAACAAGTGATGTGCAATGCAATTGCTCTCCACCTGCTGACCGATGCCTAGCCTGTCCCTGAGCAGTGGCCCCTGGCCAGCTTTTCCCTCAGTTTGTATACTGAGCATGATGCCTATGCTATGGAATATCCCCTTGTCCAGTTGGGGTCAGTTGTCCCAGCTGTGTCCCCTCCCAACTTCTTGTGCACCCCTGCCCTGATTTTGCCTGGGAGTTAACTTTCTTCCTAGCAGCTGGTGCAGTGCTGTCTTTTGGCTTCAGTTCGCAAATAATGCTGATAACACACCAGTGGTTTAGTTGTTGCTAAGTAGTGCTTACCCTGATCGAGGACTTTTCAGTCTCTCATGCTCTGCCAGGAAGCTGGGACACAAGAAGCCAGGAGGGAGCAGAGACAGAACAGCTGACTCAAACTAGCCAGAGGGATAATTGATACCACAGACCATCAAGCTTGGTATACAAACTCGGGGTGGGGAGGGGGAACTGATCACTGCTTGGGGACAGGCTGGGCATTGGTCAATGAGCAACTGCATTGTGTATCACTTGTTTTTCTTGGGTTTTTTCCTCTCTCCCTCCTGGCCCCCCCTTTTCATTGCTATTATAATAATATTTTATTTATTTCAATTATTGTTCTTAGCTCAACCCACAGGTTTTACTTTTTTCCCATTCTCTTCCCTGTACCACTGGGGGATAGAGAGTGAGCTGCCAGTTGGGGTTAATCCACAACAGTGCTTTTTGACACCATTCATGATAATGACAGTTTTGTTTGGAATGTGCTGTATTAAATGTATAGCTTTTATTGATGTGTAGCTATTAATTGACAAACTCCTGCGCTTGCCTTGGGTCTTGCTTGCCTCACTGTATATGACAGTCTAGTGCTTGTTAGTGGTTGCTTTTTGCTTCTGCTGGACTGCTGACCATCTGACTGCTGTGCCTGAGAATGTTTTGGTAACAGCAGTGGCAATGCACCTGGGCTGCCAGCTGGCCAGGGCATCACTGCTGTTTCTCTGCTGCTGTACTGGACAGGCTGGAACTCCAGTGTGAACTCAAGTTGAAGGGACTGTGACCTGTAGACAAGTGCACAGGAGAGCAGGACACCTCAAAGCATCTTCAGCAGGTGTACCTCTGAAGGGGCTATGGCCCAAGGATAAGCCCATGCTACAGCAGGTACACCTTGGAGCATCAGTGGCTGTGCATAAAGTTGTGCTGCTGTAGCACCTCAAAGCGTGTGGCCATGGATAAGGCCACAGCCAAGCAGGTACACCCCTGGAAGGACTGCAGTCATGAGTAAGGCCATATTGGAGCAGGGTCACTCCTGAAGAGATGGTGGGTGTGGGTAAGGCCATGCTGGAGCATGTGTATCTCTGAAAGCACTGTGGCCCACGGAGAAAGCCACTAGAGGCTGGTGCACCTCAAAGCAGCTATGCCTGTGATTAAGTTCTTGTTCAACATCTTTGTTGGTGACATGGACAGGGGGATTGATGCGCCCTCAGCAGGTCTGCCAACAACACCAAGCTGTGTGGGTCGGTTGATAC